TCCTATCCAAGAACAAAGTATATCTTTCCATTTTTCTGGTGTCCTCTTTGGTCTCCTTTTTCGGAGTACTATAGTTTTCAATATAGAAGTCTTTCACTTCTTTTGTTAGATTGATTCCTAGCTATTTCATTTTTTGGCATACTATTGTGAAAAGGGTTGTTTCTCTAATTTCTTTCTCAGTGAGTTTGTTTTTCATATATAGGGAAACTATTGATTTTTGAGTGTTGACTTTGTATCAAGCTACACCACTGAATTTGCTTATCAAATCTAGAAGTCTTTTGGTAGAGTTTTGGGGTCTTCTACATAGAGTACCATGTCATCTACAAATAATGATAATTTAACTTCTTTTCTTATTCTTATTACTTTTGTTTCTTTCTCTTGTCCAATTGCTCTGACTACTGTTTCCAGAACTATATTGAACAAGAGTGGTGACGGTGGACATCTTTGTCTTGTTCCTGATTTTAGAGTGAAAACTTTGAATTTTTGTTCATTTCGTATGATGCTGGCTGTTGGTTTGTCATAGATGGCTTTTATCAGATTGAGATAAAGACCATCTATACCAGTTTTCTGTAGGGTTTTTATTATGAATGGGTGTTGGACCTTGTCACATACTTTCTTTCCTTATTTTGGCCAAATTTTTAATCTTTCAAAGAGCCAACTCTTTGATTCATTGTGTGTGTGTGTTTTGTCTCCATTGCATTAATTTCTGCTCTGCTTTTTATGATTTTCTTCCTCATACAAGCTTTGGACTTGATTTGCTCTTCTTTTTCTAGAAGCTTTAGGTTCAACATTAGGTTAGTTGAGCCCAGTCTTTTCCTGATTATGGGTATTTACCACTATAAATTTCCCTGATAGTACTGCTTTCATTGCATCCCATAAATTCTGGTATGTTGTATTGTCATCTTTTAATTGTAGAAACTGTCTGATTCCTTCTCTGATTTTATCTGTGACCCATTGGTTGTTTAGGAGAGTGTTAATATCTATATGTTTATGCCATTGATTTCCAATTTCACTGCACTATGGTCTGATAATATGCATGAGATAATTTCAGTTCCTTTGCATTTACTTAAGCATGTTCTGTGAGCTAGTATGTGGTCTCTTTTGGAGAATGTCCCATGTGCAGCTGAGAAGAATGTGTATTTTGATGTTGTGGGGTGGAACACTGTAGACATCTACTAAGTTCATTTGTTCAAGAGTTTGGTCCAGTCCTAATATTTCATTGTAAACTTTTTGGCTAGTTTATCTGTCTTATTTGTGACAGTGGGGTGTTGAGGTCCCCCACATTACAATTATATTAATGCTTATATGATTTTTTATGTCAATATTTGTTTTATATAGTTTGGTGTACTGCTATTTGGTGCATATGTATTTATGATTGTTAGCTCTTCCTTTTGGGTTGTTCCTTTTACAAGGATGTCGTGACCTTCTTTGTCAGTCTTTGTAGTGACCTTTCTTAATCAGTCTTGGCTTGAAGTCCACTTTGTCTGCAAGTAGAATAGTTACCCCTGCTTTTTTCTGGGTTTCTGTCATAGAAAATATTATTTTCCATCCTTTGACTTTCAGTCTATTTTTTTGTTTTTTAATTAAATGTGTTTCTTATATGCAGCATATTGTTGGATCCTGCTTCTTTATCCATCCTGCCAGTTTCTTTTGATTGGAAAATTGAGACCGTTAATATTGATGGTTATAACTGATATATATTGTCTTATCTCTGTCATGTTATTTTCCTGTGTTTGGCTTCCTTCCTTTCCTGTTTAATTTCTTGCCTTGCCTGGTGGAGTTATTCTGTTGGGTTCATGGAATTGTAATCCTTGTCTCTTTCTACAATATCCTTCAGAACTCTTTGGAGTGCTGGCTTGGTGGCCATGAATTTCTTCAGATGTTCTTTGTTATAGAAATCTCTTATTTTCCATCAATTTTGAAAGATAGTTTTGCAAGGTACATCAGTCTGGGTTGGAGGTTTTTTGCCATTAAGGCTTGAAATACTTCACTCCAAGCTCTCCTTGACTTGAGAATTTGTGTTGAGAAGTCTGCTGTGATTCTGATGGGCTTTCCTTTATAGGTAATGTTTTTCTTTTTTCTAACAGTAGTATTTTTTTTTTTTTTTTTTTTTTTTTTTTTTGCCTTGAGT